CCAGCCCCACTGGCTAGAATGGCTTTCTTAGCTGCATCTATAATGAGATCCAAAGTACCTTTTCCAGATAATCTTGTGCTGGTCATCCATGGTCATCTTCATGAACAGGCTCACATGCTAAAGTATGCATGTAGAGAGGAATGTTAGTGGAGGTGTCACTGATCAGTAACAGAACACATGCTTTGCATGCAGGAGGTCTCAGGTCCTTGCTATCTCTGGGCAGGACTTCAAAGGAGTCCTTAAAGAGCTAGATAGACTAGATAGACATGGTATAAAACAGTCCTGAAGTTTAATTTTCTTTAGCCAATGGGGAGAACTGTTTTACCCCTCAATGATTCCTCTGGGAATGCTATGTCATCATGGTCAGGAACACTTTGTCCCAGGAATGCTTTCAGATCAGTCAAACCACTGTCTGAAGTGTCAGCAAAACTAAAGAAACAACAACCAAAAAAACCCCCTCAGTCATTTCACATGTAAGGCAAGACTTTTTTTTATTTTAAGAAATGCCACCACCCCTTCCAAGTCAACAAATTTTGACCCAGGACAAATGGTCCTGTGAAATGGGAGTATTTGCCCTGCCTTGAATTAACAGTGCAAGAATAAAAGCCATCTCTTTTGCTAGCTGTCCTCTCTCTTATGCCGTTATCACGTGGCTTCCCATTGTATATGACTACTGCCGGGTGAAGTGGCCATTTTGAAACCCAGTGCACTGAGAACTGTTCACTCGATTTCATTCACTCCCACTCTGCTCCAGACAGGTACTTGAGTAGTTAAAAGCATCCTGGAAGAACTTGAAAATTCAAAATTCCTGCAAGGTTAAATTTTATAGGATTGCCCAGCTCAGCTGCAGACATTTCCATGCTTCCCTTTGACAGCTTCAATATCAGATGGAATATTAATGTTTTGTGAGTGTAAAAATAAGTGAAATGTGTCACTTGAGAATATTGTATAAACCAGAATATTACATCAATGTTCTTTTTACTATCACTGCAAGTCTCCCCTGCCACCCATTCTGCTTGTATGAACACGAACAATCTTCTTACTCTTGACAGAGAATATGAATTAGGCAGGTTTTTAAAAAAATAAAAATAAAAAAATCATCTATTTTCTGAATACTGGTTAAGAGATGTTCATAAGGAACAGTGTTATGACTAACCAAATGTGGCACTGTACAATGATAGATGCAAATTATAGGAGTATAATTTTGCTCATTCAGCTATATGCCACCTTTTGTTATGCGATGCATTGGCTTTGCAAACATTTCCCACTTCCAACATCAATAAAGCGTGTTCTCCTTCATGGAGAGCACGTGTTGCGGTAGGGTCTGCCGAGCCACCCCTCTGTTACCAGGCAGGGTCTCTAAAGATGGCCTGGGGCAGCGATTGGTTCACTGGGTTGCTGGGGTAAAAGTTATATTGCAATTTTGGTGGGAGGGGTAAAATGTTTAAATACTCTGCACGCAGCCTGGAGCTTTCTCTTTGCTGCGTGCAACGGATCACCCGCCCCCCCCCCCCTTGAGTAAGGGGTTGTTGCACTGACCTTGCTATGCCTGTCATGGGGTCGTCTGCCTTCGAGCAGGGGCCTGGTAGGAATTTTGTCCATCTGGCTGATTGGCTGGGCCATTTGGGTTTTGCCTACTGCGTAGCAAATCGTCACAACTTGTAAGGTTGAGGATAGGCATTGGTTATAAATTGGTGGAGGAGGGGTTACGATAGGCTGGGCCTGCCCCTCCATGGTTGCTGCGGAAAGGGAATTCCATTAAAGGAATCCTGGGGCTTGCCATCTTTTCGTCCAATCCCTGGAATGGGACTAGGGCTGGCAAGCCTTCGGGGAGCATGCGGGTGAGAATTGAGGGTCTGTGACTCAGCTCCATTTCTCCCCGACCTGTTTTCCCGCACTGGCTTTCGGTGGTGCCCAGAAGTCAGTTCTGTCCCCAGGCGGGGGGATAGATAGTCTTAACCAATGTCTAAACAACCACTCACAGTTTGTATTTGAATAAAGTTGTGGCCAAAATTATGCCAAAAACCTTAAACAAAAATTAAGTGTGCGTTGTGAGTTATTTGGGGGGTGGCTTGGGGACTTCGACACGCAATGCTATTTCTAGCAAATCCCTAGCAATACTACCTAATTCAATTGAGATTTCTTTGGGATTAGATCCCCCCACAAACACACCAACTATTTTAAGCTCAGTTACCCTGAGCTACCATGAGGTGACTTTACAACATTAACTTAAAGCTGTGTATATTTAGCTTGTGATGTAACCTGGGAATTATTCAGCATTATTTTCTATGGCAGACTGGGTACACTAGAACCTGAGACCATTGGCTCTTCTACGGCTAGGACGAATAGGCAGTGGGGTCCTATTTCTCCTCCCCTAAACCAGTGACAGTTCAGAGCATGGCACTGATGGATGTTGAGGGCTAGCTATGATAAATATTTAGATCACCATAGACAAACATACTTGTCAGCACCTGCCTAGTTCTGGAAGTGCTTCCTCCCTACTTTCAGTTTGCCAGATGCAACATAATTAGAGGCAACATAAAAAGCTTTCTAACTTGCTTAGGGAAAAGCAAGAACTAGTATAGTTAGATATATTTGATGCTTCCATCCCTCGCATTTTTACAAAATATTATTCCTTGAAATCAGCATTCAGGGGTAGATTTGTTATTTATAAACAGGTACCAAAAATGTCATCTAATGCAATATGTGACACCAGGTTGTTCACTTTGATTTATCAAAGGGTCACATAAATCATACTGGGATGAACATGGGTTGGCCATTTTCCTTACTAGATCATCTGTGCCTGTACTGTAAGATTCATTAAACACTGCTATTCCAGTTCTGTACCCAAATAGCCTTTGAGTTACCCTGCTAATATAAACCAAGTACATCACTTCAAAATGAACATTTTCAGTATGGTTGCCCAGGGAGCAGGGGGCTTGTTTCTTGTCAGCTCATGCTTTGTGATTCAAGGACCCGCCACCCGCTTGGGGATGAGAAAGACACATGGACACAGTATATTAGGTTAATGGGCTAAAAAAGGCCACAACTTTATTGATTACAGCATGTGAGAGGTATTGGCTTAGGCACTGGATAAAACAACAGAGTGTGACTCCACCCCCTCAGGGAGGGGTGAGTCTAGCAAGGGTTAACCACCAGTGGGAGGAGCCTGTTGATGCAAATACAACTGAAAGCTCCCCCTGATGTCACTAGGGATCGTGCCATGGCCCTAGCCACCAGCAAGGGCGTCGGACAGGATCTATGACCGCCGGATTCCTTTCTTTGCCACAAGGGATGCAGACTCCAAATACAGGGGTCTTTTCAGCCCTTCTAGAGCTCTAGTCCCATCTACACAACTGCAGGATCCCCAGAAACTGCAGCAAAGTAGAATGCAAATATGGTTAAATAAAGTAAATGTGATTACTTCTTGGAGCCTAAATGAAACTTCCTGCAATAGATTAATGTTTTATGTTTGTCTTTTTCTTCTTGAGATGGATATATGGGTATTTATTTCTGAAAGAGGAGGTTAGTACATTAATTAATCAATCAGACTCCATGGTTATTTTTTTTTAATGTCATTCAGCTGTCTGTATTGATGGCTGTCTCCTGTTTCTTGAGACTGAGGCTCATCCATTTCAGCAAGCCTTACATAGTCAAATATGATCTACTTGTAGTAAGCAGATGGGAATCAGAAACTTAACTGAAGTTTATATTCTGAGATAGGGGCTAGCTTCCAGATTTGAAGATGTTCTGGGCAAAACATCCTGTCCTGTGCTACCAGGCTATGTCAGGTGCTAACATCAGCTCTGTTCAAAGTCAAGGGATGAAATACAACTATTTTTAAACTTACATGGAGCAAGACTTCAGAGTGCAAATTCCCAAAATCATGCCTGACATCAGAGGCATTGAAAACAATCAGTATAATCAACTATCCTGTTCAAAATATTTATTTTTATGTAAATACTTCATTAACATTATTAATTGTGTACTGATGGTCCTAATAATGGCCATATTTGTTTCACTTAAATGAAAATGTTCATTTCATGAGCATGATCCAGATAACATGCTGATCCTACCCACTGTGAGCAATTAAGCAGTTCCACAACAAAAGCTTGTTCCATAAGGTGTTTTCAATTAGTGTACAGTAAAAGTACATTCATTCACAGTTAATTGGAATGAGCACTTGAACTGCATTGTTTTTTGTGTCAACGAAACTGTCGTTTCCAGTTTGAAACTTGCAGACATCAGTCATCCACTCAAGAAAATGCTGCACCATTTGATGCAAGAAGGGACAGATCAAGATTTGAGAAGGCTGCAGGATCAAACCAACTGCAGCTCTGGCAGAAATCTCTGGACTTAAATAGAACTGTAAGATACTGCATAACAGGATTATTGTGTCCAGAGAAAAAGAATTTCTAACTGAAAATTAAATTATAGATGGGATGAAGGTACTCTAAGTCTCAATAAACTTCCACAGATATCCAGCAAATTCAGAGTTCTTCAACAGAAGGGCTCGTTTTATGATATTGTTATAACAGTGGCTCATACATAATTATCCCAAAAAAAGATTTGAGGAAAGTTGATAGATAAGGATGGAGGGAGAAATTCAATTTTGTTTGCATTTAAATGAGAAACTACCCAGCTCACACTTCTAAAATCAATACACAAGTTGAAACACAGCTTTCCTTCAAAAATTTCACCTCTCTAAATTTTACCATTCAGTTTTCCAACCAACCAATGTGTGCAAAAATGCACCTATTAGCGAAAATAACATACAAAAAATGCAATATTTCAGAAAATTGCTTGCAAAATGTTCATATTATTCAAAACGGCATCTCAAAAAGCTGATAATCTTTCATGAGGATTTTTATTTTTTTTTAAGAATAGCTGCAGAGATGTTGAGAACTGAATTTAATATGGGGGGAGTGAGAAACCTAGAAAACCCCAAATTGACAGATTCATCCATTTCTAAGTTATACCAAAAGACTTGGGACATGTCAGCCTAGATAGCTCAGTTCATTAGAGCATAATGCTGATAATGCCAAGGTTGCAAGTTCAAACCCTGTATTGGACAGCTGCATATTCCTACCTTGCAGGGAGTTGGACTAAATGATCCACAGTATCCCTTCCAACTCTACAATTCTATGTTTCTTGGCTTGGACTAATAATATTTAGCCTTGTGGCTTCCTGCTTTTATCACTGGCTCTTCTCATTAATAGAAGGAAGGTCCATTCTTCTTCAGACTCTGATGTAATTCACAGGCTCAGTAGAAAAGACTAATCACTGTTCCTGGGGGATTGACAGATCTTTCAAGTCTCACAAGCTGCAGAGAACAAAATTCACAGAAAATCAAAGTGAGGCACAATTAGGAAATACAATACAAATATAAAACAAAACAAGTGGGACCATTTTTCCCCTCATTTGTTTTGTTTTTGTTTCTTGGCTATAACCTGAACTTTGGTTGATGACATTGGAATTGGATTTGGCCTTAAAATCCACTGATACTTTTCTTTTGAAGCATCAGCTTTCTGAATATATTTTAACTCTCCTTCCCTTAATTTCCCTGCCATACACATATCTCCTTCCACTGTGCTTTTCAGTAGGGGCGAGTGAAAGTGTCTTGGCCCCATACAGTATTTTTTGTACATTGCCTAGAGATGATTGTAGAAAAGTGTTACAGAAACTAGCTAACTAACTAACCCCATATTCAGGGCACATGAATAAAACAGCAAATTCCATCCCAAATCTGTGCAGATTTTTGAAAAAGGAAAACACAACACCTAAATAATCCTAAACATTCTGCTCACTTTCAAATTACTTCAATTAAGCTGGAAGTCCTTATGAGGTGGTACGAGGGTTTCTTCTTCTTCATGATTTTAAAACCATTTTGAGCTGCTTGCACTGCAGCTGTTTAAAACTTTTGAGTTCAAAGCCATCAGAAGGGGTGGTATGTTATATGATGCTAATCATACACATAAAAAGATGGCAGTCCCTAGTACCTGTGGGGTCTGACATCTTTTTTCTGCACAATGTCCCTGTAATGCAGTGGTCATGAAACACATTCCTAGGGGCCAAATGCAGCTCTTTAGGCCTCTCTATCTGGCCATCAGAACTCTATCCAGACCACTGGCCCTGTTTCAAACAAGTGTTTTTGCCATGCCATGTATCCTTTGATAATGCTTGTCTAGATAGAGGACAGAGATAAATGTGCAGGTGTGTGTGTAAACATACCCTACTATACAAAGCTAAATTTACTTTCATTGCACTTTTGTCTCTGGTTCCGCCCACTATTGCCATGTGACCCTTGGACAGTTTCCCCTTATATAGTCCATTTTTATATGCTATATTAATTACCATACACATTTTTGTGCACACACTATCCTAGTATATGTGTTTTTGTACACATTACTTGCTTGGAGAACTGCACTGAAAATTCAGAGAAGTGCGAATTTGAGAGGGTGGATGTGTTTTGGTATTGTATGATAAAGTGTGAACTAAACAGTTTCACCCATAAAAGTGAACTGAGTCAAAAATCTCTCCCATCCCTATGTCCCCCATACATACACCACAGCAACAAATGCAACTGTCCTAATCAAATTCAAGTGTACTGAAGCCTTTTCTGCATTCTTGAGGCAGGCTTGCATATTCCACTCTCCCCCTCAAGCTCCTCTAATTCACACTCCTTCACAAGTAGCTAGTGTATCTGAGGAAGCTGGAGACATGTGTGCTGAAGTCAAGAAACAAGATTATAAATATAGCCCACAAATAGCTTTAGGTTCCTTTACTTCCCCATATATCCATCTAGTTCTTTGTAAGGTGGGGAGGGGAGAAAAATTACCCAGGATGGAGTTTCAGTAATCACAGCTTGGGGCATTTGAGTTCATCTTGTCGGGGGGGGGGGGGAGACAGAGTGAATGAAATGTTTTATACTTGGCAGCTTTCAATTACACTATTCCACAGAAACCTTCCCAGCTTTGCAAAAACCCCAATTAAATATTTACTGAGGAATGAATGGGCTGATAAAAAAAGAAATGGGATGGTGGGAAGGAGCTTTTCTTGTTTTGTAATCCAAGTTAATTAATCCTCTTGATTTGTGGAAGAGCTTGCTTGCTTTTAGTAAGAAACGGGAGTCAGCTTTGAACTTCGGGAGAAAGAAAAAAACCTGTATGAAAAATCAATTCTATTCCCAAAGCATTTGAATGGAGACTCCTGAACTCACTTGGCCTGTTCCAGAAGAGAGTCTAAATCTTGTCTATAAGTCATTCTCTTCATAACACCTGACATACAGCTCCCAGGAATCTCGCCTGTTGGACAATGTAAGTAGTGTTAAAGGGCAAGCCAGGATCACAGTGGCACAGTAGGATAAGGGTGGAAGGGAGTCAAATACTTACTGGTTTATAAAATCATGTACACAAGCTGTTTGGGGGACATAGCCCACCCAAAGCATCTTAAAAGACCACAGCACAATCTATACCTCTCAATAGCAGCAGTATTATCAACTATTAGCTACAACTCAGGACATATTCAAGACAAAACAACAACAAAATTGTATCATAGCTCTCTAAAAGAAATCCTTCTAAGCTGACTGTGGGGGATGAGAGGCTTCCCCCAGATGAAATATTCTTCCTGGAGCGGCTTCCCTTCCTCCAGCAATGGCTCACTTGGTAAGTTGGAAGCACAGTAATAGTGGAGGTGCACTGCTAGGACAAACTTTTCATCAAGGGGTCTTCAAAATTTTCTAAATAACGAAATAATAAAAATTATGTACAGTGGTACCTCAGGTTAAGTACTTAATTCGTTCCGGATGTCTGTTCTTAACCTGAAACTGTTCTTAACCTGAAGCACCACTTTAGCTAATGGGGCCTCCTGCTGCCACCGTGCCGCTGGAGCACGATTTCTGTTCTCATTCTGAAGCAAAGTTCTTAACCTGAAGTACTATTTCTGGGTTAGCAGAGTCTGTAACCTGAAGCGTATGTAACCTGAAGTGTATGTAACCCGAGGTACCACTGTACTAGAACTATTTATATCCTGCCTTTTAAGGTGCAAATCCACAATAAACAATATCTACATATAAAAAGTGATCAAGAGCCTTCCCAGAGTGCAACTGGCCCTGTGATGGCAAGCTCTGAGGTATCTTTTGTCTCTCTTTTTCTGTAATTCTTTACACAGAACTGTTGATGATAAGTGGCTTATGTGTAAGTGCCACAGGAAGCCCAACTTCTTCTCCCTACCGCAGTGAGTGAGACCATTTGAGACCTTGGGGGTCTCAAATTTCAGTGACGCCCTGTGCAACGCCAAAATTTGGTGCACCCTCGCCTCTCACACTCCTTTCTAAATAATAGCTGTAGTATCCCCTGTGGCACCTCCGAGATTCCGTGCGCAGTGCAACCGCTCACTTCCATAAATCTGTCTCTGCCTACTACGTGACAACTTTTTCCTGTAGAAAGGCCTTGGCTTATAATATCATCAGTTTTGATGCTGTTTGACATGTTCCTCTTACCACTATTTAGGGAGTAGGGTTGTACTCTTGGCTCTGCTGCCAGACATGCTGTCAAACGCCACATTTACATAGTCACACATCTTATCTCTGCAAAGAGATAAGTCTACACATTCCACCTGATGTCTCTTTCTCCCAGTCATGTGGAAGCTTATGAATGAGCTAGTGCTGGCACATAGTGGGGTTTTTTCTTTGAAGAGGAAGATGCTAACCTGTGGGCATCTAGAAGTGGGGCCAGTCAGGGTGCCTGATACCAAGGGTGGGGCCAGGAGTAGCCATATAGTTTATGGGTTTTTAATTATTGGATGTGATGGTCTTTGCTATTTGCCATTGTTTTGATTGGTCTACTGATGATGATGATGATGATGACAATGGTAATGATGCTCATAGAATCATTGAAATGTAGAGTTGGAAGGGACCCCAAAGGTCATCTAATTCAATCTCTGCAATGCAGGAACCACAGCTAAAGAATCCTTGAGAGATAGCCACTCAGCCTGTGTTTAATAACCTCCAATGAAGGAGATTCCACCATCTTCCAGTGGTTATTGCATTTGTTGTTAGTAGGCAAACTTCCTGGAAATGCAGAATAAAAATAAAATAAAAGAAGGAAATAAAATGTGCAAATACACCATACATGAGTTAGGGAAAAGAAGGGGAAGTGTTGAGCTGGTGACCAAAAGAGGTGAGGCAGTTCTGAGAGCCTATCCAAAACCTGAATTTGTTGGCTAGCCTGTGAGCTGCCTCTTCCAGCTTCCTTTTCCTAGGAGTGCTATGAAGATGAAGCAAGAAAAATTAGGGAAACTTAGATGGACTTAAGAAGATTTTGCAGTCAAAAGCAGGGAGGGGGTGAAAACATACTTCTGGTGACAAGGACATAACTTTCCCTCTTTGTGCCACTGCAGCAATTTAACCACACCCCAGCCGCGCAGCGACAATCCCTCATCCCCACTAAAGTACATTTGGTGGTGTGAGGAGCTATTTTTACAGGCTGTTTCGGCGGGTGGGGGTGGGATGAGGAGAGCCAGCTATATGCTTTATTTATTTATAAAAATGTTGCATTTTCGGCTCACTTTGGCCTCTCAAAGTAGCGTCAAGCTAAGACCCATCGTAAAACAAGAATAGCTTAAGGCAACTTAAAAGCAGTATCCAAGCGAGAGAGAGAGAGAGAGAGAGAGAGAGAGAGAGAGAGAGAGAGAGAGAGAGAGAGAGAGAGAGAGAGAACAGTAGATTTTAGAAAATCTAGCTAGCACTAGACCACAATTTCTGTCAGAAACAAAAATATTATATAAGCTAACGATGAAACTGAATACAAAGAGGCTTAAATGGATCTCCTTTGCTAGGAGAAGAATGAACACAGACAAGGTCAATCCCCAACCCTTGAAATACAAGACCCTCACATGCTCAGTTGTTATGACCTATTCTAATGGGAGAGGAAGGTAATTGAACATCCTTGCAAATACAATATTTTGTTCCTAGAATAAGGATTCATATGTCAATTTCACAACATGCACGTAGTTGATTATGGTCTTTCTTTTGCCCAGAATCTCTCCTTGCTGTTCTTTGTCCTAACATGGGGCTCCATCCTTCTACTTCCCTGTGCCAGGGTATTTTTCCTTTCAGATCCAATGAGACTTCTTAAAGGGATATCAAGATGGTAGTGGTGACAAGGAAGGGCAGAGATAGATTTGTGTGTGCCTCGTTTATCTTATACAGGGTAGTGCTATATCGGTCTTGCCAGCACAGCTAAATCCAGTTCAAAATATCCGATTGTCCAAGTGTTTGCTTTATTTATCTCATTTTTTTTAAAAAAAATAATGTTAATCAAATAGATAGGAAAAAGAAATTCTCAATTTTTACCACAGAATCTTGAGACACCATGATGACTCCTGAACTTGTTAGGTTTTAAATTTGTCTCTTCGTTGTTTTTGCTGAAACTGGCTAACATAGCTACTTCCTTGGAAGCTATCCCTTTTGTATTTCAATGCACTGGGACTTGAAAATAATAGAAGACTCCCCTTCATGCTTTAAAGAGCTTACAACAAGCACTGAGTGGTTTTAACACAGGGATGGGGAACCTGTGAGGTGTTGCCAGACCTCACCTCCTATCATCTGTGACCATTGGGCTTGCCTACTGGGGCTGATGGGAGTTGGGAGTCCCAACCCATCTGGAGGTCCACATGTTCTCCACCCCTGCTTTAATGTCTCCAGATTAATTATTTCCTCCTCCTTTTCCCCCAGAGTGTTCTTTTCACTAGAAGTCTAGAAGAAGTCATTTCAATCAAGCTCTTTGGGGTCCTGGCTTGCATTTGGGAAATGGATCCATCATAACAGTACACTCCTCAATATAGTTTCCTCTATAGCTTTGCAATTTGTATTGTGCTTCCCATTGGGAACTGCTTATACAGCTGTCAGATAAGCCCCTGGGAAGATGGGTTTATGGGCGATACATTGACAGGCTCTCAAGCACTGTGGTAATAGAGGTAACTCAATTATGCTAACAGCTCCGCATCACAGATCATCAACCAGACTTGAGGCACCAGCAGACACCTTTTCATATCTGAATCCGCAGCTGTTCTCTTAGAAAGGGATGCAATTCACTACAGTGACGAGATAAAACTTCCATGCAATTTCACAGGGTGGCATAAAAGTCCTCTTTTAAATCACCACTAGAAATGATCGGGCGAGGCAATAGTTATAAATATTCCTCATGAAAGATTATTTCCATAAAGAAAAATAAGAGTAAAGGAAGTATTCTATCATATCTAGTAGATATATTACTGAGTCTGCATAGTAATTTTCATTTGAAATATTGCCACTTCGTGAATTTTCTTTTTCTTTTATCAACAATCCTGTGTGAAAAAATAAAGTGCTTATGCAGTATGGGAGTTACTATTGTCAGGTGCCTCTGTTGGAAATCAACTGTCATGGCTGGTGTCAAGACATCAAAGCAAATAATTTAGAGAACACTCATGAAGTCATGAGAGTAGGGACCCACCCTAGAACCATATACTAAATTCTAAATAATAGGCATACTGTAGAACGGTGTTTGGGAAACTCCCCCCCCCCCCCCCGTTTGAGGAATATCTTTCCTTCTGGACAACCTTTCAGAGGCCACACGTCAGTGCAGTCAGATGACAAAATGGACAAAGCTCTCTCTCTCTCTCTCTCTCTCTCTCTCTCTCCCTTGGTACACACCGAGGAGAGCAGGTACACCTGGGCTGGGAGTGTCATCTAGACATATAGCGCCTGAGCTCTTCCATTCTCATTGTAGAAGGAAAAGTAAATTGATCCTAGCCATGGTGACTTTACATCATCATTATTTTAAAAAAATATTCTTTGGAGATGGTGACACCATTGGGAAAAGATGGTTGATCAGAACACCACACCACTTCTACCACCTGTAGTTCTGTCCCCCTTCTCAAAAGTGAGGTTTTCTTTTTTTCCCCTTTGGGGAAGGGTTGGCAGATGGTAGGATAAGGGGAGAGTGCAACTGAGATGGGAGGCTGCTTGTGGTGAGGTGTGCCTTTCTTGGTTTTGCTCCCTGTGATTTAGGAAGAGGCGCTTGCATTCATTGAGTACCACTGCTTCAAAAGTTCATGCTATCTCTTCACTCCTTACAGCAAGACTGGATGACCTGTGGCCCTCCTGATGTCATTGAACTACAGTCAAGGGCCTTCAGTGTGGTAGCACCTGCTGCTTGGTCCACTCTTCCCCTGGATGTGAGGCAGGAGCAAAAGATTCTTGTTTCTGGCACATGCTAAAAACTTATTTTCACCCAGGCTGTCCTAGATTAGTTTTTTGTTGGTGGAGGTCAAACATACTGCTAGTTACCGTGAATATGCAGAAATAATTATATTTCATATTTATTTTATGATAATATGTGTCATCCATTTTTTTGTGCATCATTTTGGTGTTTTTTGCTGTTAAGTGGTTGAGATTTTTTTTTAGGATGAATAAACTCCTTTCATCGCTTACCATTGGCCATGACAACTGGTGCTGATGGGAGTTGGAGTTATAGCAATAGGTGGTTCCCCCATACCTGTCTTACTGTGTCTCTGGGTTCCCATGTTTGTGCCTCTCACCCCTAAACTTCAATTGTAAAGGAGATCATATCAATTCAATAGGAGTCTGGGTTAATCTGGTTTTCTCCATGTCACCTATAGTGTAGATGTCAACAAGACTTTGCATGTCAAAAGGTGAACTGGATAACAGTTCCTAGAAATATATTTGCATATATCAAGTGAAGGCCTGGACACATCTGGCTTGGTAAGGGACTGACAATAGAATTCTTACAGAGATGCCAATAGTAAGAGAAATACTCAGATTTCACTTGTGTGGGATAAGCACTATGGCGATATCCTGTTTAGAGGCAGTTTTAGGGTGGTGCAGCCAGTGCAGCAGCACCGAGTGCTGAGCTGTAGGGGGTGCCACAGCAGTGCTGTAGAACAGAGGAAGAGAAGCACGGGGCACCAAATTTTAACACCACACATGGCACCGCTGAAATGTGAGAGCCCAAAGTCTGCCACTGCCCTGTTTGGGTCTGGTTTGGTGCAAGGAAGGGGAAACAGACTGGAACAATGTCTCTTACTGGCAGGACAGTGTAATAGCAGGTGCAACAGGTTTCGGGCAAGGGACATTCCCAGCCCAACTAGTTGATGCCAGGAATTGAACCTGGGTCCATCTGCATGCATACTGTACTTGATGCTCTTCTACTGAGCTACACCCCTTCTTCAGTTGTTCTGACATGTGTTGGTATGGCAAATAGACACTGAGAATACCCTGAACAGAAGGTGGGATTTCTCTTTGCTGAATGATTTCCTTCTTCTACTATAATTATTACTTAGTAGTTGAAATAGCCCCAGCAAATAATTCACTGAAAGCAAACACCAGCTTAGACTGATGGTTAATTTAGAAAAGGGTTTGAGAAGTGTAAGCTCTCCCTCCCACTGTGCTATGCTTCCAGTCCGGTGTCTCTCCCACAAATATTCACTCTTATATGTTAAAATTGCAGGTGGTCCTGATAATTGGTCTCTCATATCATATATAGTTGAACCACCAGGAAGGGAGTAAGATCCATGGAACTCAATAGGATTTACATGTATGTAAACATGTTAAGGACCACTATGTGTAAACACAGTTAAGGACCACAGTTGTGTTCTGAAATTATTTGCAAATATCCCCACCCACTTACAGAAACTGCTCAGCATCAAGCCACTTGCAGCCCGAATAATTTTCTTTCATGGTCACGTAGGATTTTGTGGGTGAATAGACAATTAAACTGACAGCTGCAATATTCCAGGCTGCTTTCCTCATCACAAAATGGAAATATCAATTCACAGCCTTCTCTCCTGCTTGTATTCCAATATTTATTCTCCCCCAGTGATTCTGTGCAAATTTTACTTGCTTTACAAGTCAAAACAGTGTTTTTCCAATTGTCAGCACTACAGGCTCAACCTGCTTTCTGAAAAATCCTGCTGTGTCTGTTCTGTTCTGTTCATGATATGAACAGTAAGACTAGAATCAGAGATTAGCTGTCATTTGAGCTGATATACATTTGAAATGTACATACAGCCCTACTGTACCGTACCTCCAAATCTTCAAAACAAGTATGTTGTGCTGCCCACTTTCACACTGTTATATTTTCTGTTAAAATTTCAACCCCTGGTGGATATGTTTTCCTGACAAGCAGAAAGAAAATAACTCTCTGTGTGCGCGGCCGCACACGCACACACACATTATTTCATTTAAGAATCATTTTCTAGAAAACATCCCAAACTGACAATAAAAACATCAACACTAAAAGCATATTTTAAAACAACTTCAAATCTAGTATAAGTACAGACTTGGATAAAAATATCCAGTTAAAAGGCTTATTAGAAAAAGATGGCCTTCAATAAGTACTGGGGCGAAACACAGAATATGATGCCTGTCTGCTATGTAGTATGAAAAGGAGCCTCCTGTTAGTTCCACCCCTCCATTCCCATTGCCTTCTCTGTGTTGAAGAGTCTGGTGTGGGGTAGCTTCTGTAGTATTGGGTCTTCTTGTGCAATGTAAACCTCTGGAAAACTGGGGTTCTGCACCATGTTAGGAGCCTATATGAGTAGAAGTAGGCTCCCCACTTCAGACAGTCACCCCAGACGGTAACAGGGATGAGAAGTAGATCTAGGAGGTTCATCCCTACAGCCCAGATTAGGGCGGGGGCCACACATGAACAGCATTCATGACATCTTCAGAGACTGAGTCTATGGCCTGAAAACTACCATTATCCATGAATCACATGGTTGTTATCTGTCAACCCTAAGAAAAGAAGTTTACTGTTAAAACAACAGAACTACAAGGGGGAAAAGTAGGGAAGGGAAAAGCACTAGCTGAATTAGCCTTTTCCTTCCTTTCTCAAAGCACAACAGCTCCCCAAAGACCAAAAGAACCAAACAACCTGCATTGGTTTGTGGGGGATTGGTTTTTGGACCGATAGATCACTTGACTCCCATCAAAGCTGCTTCATACTTCAGAGTCAACAGAGTTGTCAAGGCTGCAATGACGGATGTTTTTGCCACGACCAGTTAAAAAGCAGAAGTAAATAAGGTATTTGCAGGTCTGTTATGCATGATTTATCTTCTCCTTGTGTTGGCTGAGAACACAGGGTCCCACAATGTGTATTATTTATGAATGGGTGTGGCGAAGATCAGAACCCGAGAACCTGCTCTGCTTTTACCACAGATGCCGCAAGAAGACAGAGCATTCCTCGGAGAGGTCTCTGTCAGTGTGGTGCACCTGATGCCTGGTGGAGGAATTAACAGGTCAACAATACGTACAGAGTCAGCCAAAGGAAAATAAATAAAAAAAAGAGAAAGAAAAGCTGGGCAATAAATGTCACCCAAATTCATGTGCTATGTGCAGTCTTGCCAGCGTGAGTACAACTTTGCTGCTGTGCTGTCAGCAGAAATTATGTTCTGCCTGTATTGCTGGGTCACATGGCAAGGATTTTCCTTGTTACACAGTGGCACGGGAGAGTTGCTCTCTGTCACCTTCCATCTGACATTTTATAGGGATTAAGAAAATAAGTCAGAAAGGAAAACATATTATATATTGTTTTCCCTCTGCAGCTGACTACCAGTAATCTTAAAAGTCAACAAATGTCAGATTTCAATTTGTTGTTCACTGAATTACTGCAATCCCTCAGAGCTTTGTTTCTCTAATTCATTCATGTAACGTTACTGGGAAGCACCATTTCGCCTTACTCTGCCTAAGTGTTTGTGCTGTGCATCTATGCATACACACATCTGATTGGGTGTGCACCCACATCATGCACGCTCTGAAATGAGTCGGTGGTCTGCACCCAATACTGCCTCCACAACATCCTTCCTCCTTTGACCTAAGATGGAGGAACGTACTTTGAGGCAGAAGCGGAGACAATGATCTTTCCCTGGTAGTAGGAAGATACTCCATTGGAATGTAGCAGTGCTCTCATCTGTGACCTCCTTCTCACCTTTTATCTGATACCTAGGGTGGCTTTCTTCAATTTGGGGAAGGAAGAGGTAGAGTCAGCAGTGGTTTTTTTTTTTTTAAATGATATTTATTAAAGTTTCAAAGAATACAAAAACAAAAAATAAAAATAAAAGAAAATACAAAATACAGAAAAAAATAAGATTTTTAAAATATAACAAAAAAATAAAGAAAAATAAAGAAAAGCATACAAGATAAAAACAGTTAAAAACACATTAACTTTCCATAGTATAACTTCCTTAGCCTTATTTCCCCGGACCTCCTCATACCTCCCCTTTTTGTATTCCAGTTCAGTTTGTTAGTTCAGCAAATCCTTACCATTAAGCTTTTACCCATTTGTAAACCTTTTTTCATATCTCTTAAAGCATTACAGCTGGAAACCACTTAGTTTCTATCCAACATCCTTCTAAGATTCATTAATTTTACAATATTTCTGTAAATAGTCTTCAAATTTCTTTCAGTCTTCTTTCACTGACTCTTCTCCCTGGTCTCGGATTCTGCCAGTCATTTCTGCCAATTCCACGTAGTCAATCACCTTCATCTGCCATTCTTCCAGAGTGGGTAGATCTTGTGTCTTCCAATACTTTGCAATGAGTATTCTTGCTGCTGTTGTAGCATACATAAAAAAAGTTCTGTCCTTCTTTGGCACCAATTGGCCGACTATGCCCAGGAGAAAGGCCTCTGGTTTCTTCAAGAAGGTATATTTAAATACCTTTTCAATTCATTATATATCATTTCCCAGAAAGCCTTAATCTTTGGGCACGTCCACCAAAGGTGAAAGAATGTACCTTCAGTTTCTTTACATTTCCAGCATTTATTATCGGGCAAATGATAGATTTTTGCAAGCTTGACTGGGGTCATGTACCACCTGTATATCATTTTCATAATATTCTATCTTAAGGCATTACATGCTGTGAACTTCATACCTGTGGTCCATAACTGTTCCCAGTCAGCAAACATAATATTATGTCCAACATCTTGTGCCCATTTAATCATAGCAGATTTCACCGTTTCATCCTGAGTATTCCATTTCAACAACAAGTTATACATTCTTGACAGATTCTTAGTTTTGGGTTCTAGCAGTTCTGTTTCTAATTTTGACTTTTCCATCTGGAAGCCAATTTTCTTATCCAAATTATATGCCTCCATTATCTGATAATAATGAAGCCAATCTCTCACTTTGTTTTTTAGTTTTTCAAAACTCTGCAATCTCAACTTATCTCCTTCTTGTTCCAAAATTTCCCAATATGTCGGCCATTTGGCCTCCATATTGAGCCTTTTCAGAGCTTTTGCTTCCATTGGTGACAGCCACCTTGGGGTTTTATTTTCCAGTAAATCTTTATATCTTATCCAGACATTAAACAATGCTTTCCTGACAATATGATTTTTAAATGCTTTGTGTGCTTTGACCTTATACCATAAATATGCATGCCATCCAAATACATTGTTAAAACCTTCTAAGTCCAAAATGTCTGTGTTTTCAAGAAGTAGCCATTCTTTCAACCAGCAAAAAGCTGCTGATTCATAGTAAAGTTTAAAGTCTGGCAGGGCAAATCCACCCCTTTCCTTTGCATCAGTTAATATCTTAAATTTTATTCTGGGCTTCTTGCCCTGCCAGACAAATCTAGAAATATCTCTCTGCCACTTCTTGAAACAATCCATCTTGTCCACAATTTGCAATGTTTGAAACAGAAACAGCATTCTAGGCAATACATTCATCTTTATCACAGCAATACGACCCAACAGTGAAAGCTTCAAATTTGACCAAATTTCTAAATCTTTTTTCACTTCCGTCCAACATTTTTCATAATTATCTTTAAATAAGTTCCCATTTTTGGCTGTCATGTTAATCCCCATGTATTTCACTTTCTTAACCACAGTCAAACCTATCTCATTCTGAAACCTCTCTCTTTCAATCGGTTTTAAATTTTTCTCTAAAACCTTAGTTTTTAACTTGTTCAGTTTAAATCCTGCCACTTGACCAAATTCTTGGATTAGTTCTAAAACCCTTTTAGTACTAGATTCTGGCTCCTGTAACGTCAATACTAAGTCATCTGCAAATGCTCTCAGTTTGTACTGTTTGGCTCCGACCTGTATGCCTTTAACCAACCGGTCCCTTCTAATCATATTCAGCAGAACCTCCAGGACCGATATAAAAAGCAGTGGGGAGATTGGGCACCCCTGTCGTGTCCCTTTTTCTATCCTAAATTCTTCCGTAAC